AGCCCGCCAGGCTCGTCTGTCCATGGGATTCTCCAGGCAAGAATACTGGACTGGGTTGCCATGCCCTCCTCCAGAAGATGGAACCTGAGTTTCTTAAATCTCCCAAATTGGCAGGCAGATTCTTCACCACTAGCGCCACATGGGAAGCCCCAGTCTCTTACCTAATAGCATCAATGTTTTTTCCCTTAAGTTTTACCCTTTGTTATCTAAGGTGTTTGTTTATTTGTTTTCCAGTATATTTTGGTCTCTGCCTTTAAGGTTAGAAAGTTTCAGCAAACATCTAGAAATCCTTTGTTTTAGATCTTTCCTCTTTCTTAAAAAAAACTACATATTCTTGTTTTAATATTTATCTGGCTGCGTCGGGCCTCACTGAGTTGGGCATGCGGGATATTTCGTCATGGTGCATGGGCATTTCACTGCAGCACAGAGCCCCACAGCTCATGGGCTCAGGAGATGCAGCACACAGGCTTAGTTGCCCCATGGCACGTGGGCTCTTAGTTGCCGATCAGGGACTGAACCCACGTCCTCGGCCCCAGAAGGGTGATTCTTCACCACTGGACCACCAGCAAGTCCCAGTCTGCTCATCTTTCAGGGGGACGTGCTAAGAAAATGACTAGAAGACCTCAGGATACAGTTGGGACTTACCAACTGTGGGTTTCACTGTCGGGTGATCCAGCTAACTGCTCTGTTGGAGAACCCCTGAGGTTAATACCCTTAGGTCTTTTCTCTGAATAGTCAAATTCCCAGGTAAGAGTCTTCTAGTCTCTGACCTGGAAGGTAGAAGCCTAGTTGTCAGAGTTCTAGAAACCACCACTCAGTAAATAACTCACTCAATCTCTGTCTTCAATACAATCATACCCAGGTGCCCTCCATGAGAAAGACTCTGTTTTCCACCACTAGCAAAGAAACCTCCAGCAATCTGATGAGTTGGGGGTGAGTAGTTGCTGAGACACATGAAGTAAAGGAGGAGATGGGGGTAGGGTTATTATTACTTCAAATAATCCTCCTAATTTTAGTACTACCTACATTCCAGCTAAAATGGACTGGAATGGGTGAAATTTAACTCAGACCATTATATCTACTACTGCAGGCAAGAATCCCTTACAAGAAATAGAGTAGCCATCATAGTCAACAACAGTCCGAAATGCAGTACTTGGATGCAATCTCAAAAACGACAGAATGATCTCTGTTCGTTTCCCAAGCAAACCATTCAATATCACAGTAATCGAAGTCTATGCCCTGACCAATAATGCTGAAGAAGCTGAACAGTTCTACGAAGACCTACAAGACCTTCTAGAACTAACATCCAAAAAGATGTCTTTTCATTATAGGGGACTGGAATGCAAAAGTAGGAAGTCAAGAGAGACCTGGAGTAAAGGGCAAATTTGGCCTTGGAGTACAGAATGAAGCAGGGCAGAGGCTAACAGACTTTTGCCAAGAGAACTCACTGTTCATAGCAAACACCCTCTTCCAACAACACAAGAGAAGACTCTACACATGGACATCACCAGATGGTCAATGCCAAAATCAGATTGATTATATTCTTTGCAGCCAAAGATGGAGAAGATCTATACAGTTAGCAGAAACAAGACCGGGAGCTGACTGTGGCTCAGATCATAAACTCCTTATTGACAAATTCAGACTTATATTGAAGAAAGTAGGGAAAACCACTAGACCATTCAGGTATGACCTAAATCCCTTATGGCTATACAGTGGAAGTGATGAGTAGACTCAGGGATTAGATCTGATAGACAGAGTGCCTGAAGAACTATGGATGGAGGTTTGTGACATTGTGCAAGAAGCAGAATCAAGACCATCCCCAAGGAAAAAAAGTGCAAAAAGGCAAAATGGTTGTTTGAGGTGGCCTTACAAACACCTATGACAAGAAGAGAGGAGAAAGGCAAAGGAGAAAAGGAAAGATATACCCATTTGAATGCAGAGTTCCAAAGAATAGCAAGGAGAGATAAGAAAGCCTTCCTCAGTGATCAAGGCAAAGAAATACAATAGAATGGGGAAAACTAGAGATCTCTTCAAGAAAATTAGAGATGCCAAGGGAACATTTCATGCAAAGATGGGCACAATAAAGGGCAGAAACAGTATGGACCTAACAGAAGCAGAAGATATTAAGAAGAGGTGGCAAGAATACACAGAAGAACGATACAAAAAAGATCTTCATGACCTAGATAACCACGATGGTGTCATCACTCACCTAGAGCCGGACATCCTATAATTCAAAGTCAAGTAGGCCTTAGGAAGCATCACTATGAACAAAGCTAGTGGAGGTGATGGAATTCTAGTTGAGCTATTTCAAATCCTAAAAGATGATGCTGTGAAAGTGCTGCACTCAATATGCCAGCAAATTTGGAAAACTCAACAGTGGCTACAGGACTGGAAAAGGTCAGTTTTCATTCCAATCCCAAAGAAAGGCAATGCCAAAGAATGCTCAAACTACCACACAATTGCACTCATCTCACATGCTGGCAAAGTATTGTTCAAAATTCTCCAAGCCAGGCTCCAACAATACATGAACCGTGAACTTCCAGATGTCCAAGCTGGATTTAGAAAAGGAACCAGAGGAACCAGAGATCCAATTTCCAACATTCATTGGATCACCAAAAAAGTAAGAGAGTTCCAGAAAAACATCTATTTCTGCTTTATTGACTATGCCAAAGCCAAAGTTTATTGTGGATCACAACGAACTGTGGAAAATTCTTAAAGAGATGGGAATATCAGACCACCTTATCTGCCTCCTGAAAAATCTGTATGCAGGTCAAGAAACAAGAGTTAGAACTGGTCATGGAACAACAAACTGGTTCCAAATTGGGAAAGGAGTACATCAAGGCTGTATATTTAACTCACCCTGCTTATTTAACTTATATGCAGAGTACATCATGAGAAATGCTGGACTGGGTGAAACACAAGCTGGAATCAAGATTGCAGGGAGAAATATCAATAACCTCAGATATGCAGATGACACCACCCTTATGGCAGAAAGCAAAGAAGAACTAAAGAGCCTCTTGATGAAAGTGAAAGGAGAGTGAAAAAGTTGGCTTAAAACTCAACATTCAGAAAACTAAGATAATGGCATCTGGTCCCATCACTCCATGGCAAATAGATGCGGAAACAGTGGATATAGTCGCAGACTTTATTTGGGGGGCTCCAAAACCACTGCAGATGATGACTGCAGCCATAAAATTAAAAGACACTTGCTCCTTGGAAGAAAAGGTATGACCAACCTAGACAGCTTATTAAAAAACAGAGACAATACTTTGCCAACAAAGGTCTGTCTAGTCAAAGCTATGGTTTTTCCAGTAATCATGTATGGATGTGAGAGTTGGACTATAAAGAAAGCTGAGTGCAGAACTGATGCTTTTGAACTGTGGTGTCAGAGAAGACTCTTGAGAGTCCCTTGGACAGCAAGGAGATCGAACCAGTCCATCCTAAAGGAAATCAGTACTGAATATTCATCGGAAGGACTGATGCTGAAGCTGAAACTCCAATACTTTGGTCACCTGATGTGAAGAACTGACTCATTGGAAAAGACCCTGACACTGGGAAAGATTGAAGGCAGAAGAAGAAGGGGATGACAGAAGATGAGATGGATGGATGGCATCACCAACTAAATGGACATGAGTCTGAGTAAACTCCAGGAGTTGGTGATGGACAGAGGCCTGGCGCACTGCAGTGGATGGGGTAGAAGAGTTCGACAGGACTGAGCGACTGAACTGACTGACAGCCCAGCTGCACTGTAATGCCATTGATTTAGAGGTAAATCAAGTTGCTTCTAAGCCTTGTTCACTGCTGGTTTAGTTAACCATATGACTTTCTGTTTTCCAGTTTCTATCGAAAGTTTTGCTATTATTAATAACTCCTCTCTTTCCTTGACCCCTTTCTTAAATCCCCTTCTTGTACAGGATTTAGAAAAAGAGTGAAGTTAAATGCTAGATCCCTCAAATTTAACTAAAAGCCTCCACTCGCTTGCTAACCCTGGGCAAACCGGCTTCATTCTCAACCTTCCCTAAACTGTCAAGATTGATCTTTCCTGAAAGGTAAGATCTTTCCTTTATTTTGCCTTCAAAATAAAGTTCAAATTCCTTAGCTTGCAAGCCATTTTCTGGTCTGGCTCCCCACTCCGATCTCCCCAGTCACACCTAGCCACCAACCACGCTGCGTTCACTCCAGTCAAACTTACTGGACTTCCAATGTGTCGGCCCCTTACAGCACTACGCGCTCGCTGTGCCTTTCCCTTCTCCACTTCAACCTCTCAGCCACCTGGTTAAGCCCCAAATGCAGTTCAAGCAACATTTCCTCCTAACATTTCCTCCTAGAATCCTTTCTCTGTTCCTAGAAATACACCCTGGGCGTATCCCTAATAAAGCACCTATCCAGTCTCACGTGAGAGTCCACCTCACTCACCTTTGTATCCCCAGAGCCAACCACATAATAAGCAATCAGAGAGGGAACCGGCTGACAGGAGCAAGCGCCTCAGAATATATTGACAGTCCGTGTTTTAGCGGAGCTCCGGATCAGAGGTAAGCGCTGCGGCGAATGTCACACTCACCAAGTCGTTTTCCCCGGGCCCCGATAGGTGGCGGAGTGGGATAGGCAGACAGAGGGTCCATGGCTGTCCAGTCTGTAATACCCCAGAGGTCCTACCATCATCACATAGCACCCGCAGACGCTCAAGAAATTCTTGTAGAAGAAATTAAACAGACCACAACAGTGTCGTGAAGGTAGACAGGTCTGAATGGGCTTAAGCTGGAGATTTTCCGATACTCCGTCTTACCACAGGTGGTCACGCGGTGGGGTCGCGCAGCAGGGCATGCGCAGGGGACCCTGGTAGTTGTAGTTCACCAGGTGGAACGAGAAGGGAAAGACCACGCTGAGCATCCTGGGAACTGTAGTGTTGGCTAAGGTGCGCCCTCTGCTCAGGCGCAAACCGACAGTCACTTCCGGGCGCTTTTCCGTAGTATTTCTCAAAAGAAAACCCCAGGTTAACGATGGCTACCTACAGCCTGGCGAACGAGCGACTACGCGCCCTGGAAGACATCGAAAGAGAAATTGGAGCCATTCTTCAGAATGCAGGTTCGGGATACGACGACGAGAAGGGTAACGGGCGCGAGAGCAAGCGTGATCGCTTGCACATGGGCGGACCAAATGGGGTTGGAAGGGATCCTAACTGGGTGTAGGGGTGGATGGGGCTGGCCCTGGGGCGGGGCTATACTGGCGGTCTCCGGATAGCCCCGCCCGCTCTCCACTCTGGCAGGTACCGTGATCTTGGAACTGTCCAAGGAAAAAACCAACGAGAGGCTCTTAGACCGACAGGCAGCGGCCTTCACCGCGTCGGTGCAGCACGTGGAGGCGGAGCTGTCGGCTCAGATCCGCTATCTCACTCAGGTGTGTTTGGTGGGACGTGCTACGCTCCCACCTCAGCTCTCTGCCTTAGCCTTATTCTTCAAGAGTACCGGGCAGAGCTTTGGTCCCCGGAGCCAAGCAAGACCAGCCCAACCCAGCAGGCCCGTCGATCCTGGCAGCATCCCTCCCTTCCAGGACAGGTTTCTTGTGTCACTGAGTTGCATCACATGAGCCAGTGGATGGAAAAGTCCTGGGAGAGGGCATCTAAACAATACGAAAGCTATAGGATTTGCCCTTAGACATTTGACCTGACCTCAAGTGTATAGCGCCCCAGATGGCTACTTCATAAGAAAAGGAACAGGACTGAAAGGGTTCTGAGGTTATTAAAACAGGAAGCACCATGTACTAAACTTGTACAGTGTGCTAGACATTCTGCATTATCTAATCCTATAACAACTCTGAAAAGTGAAACTGTTAGTCTCTCAGTAGTGTCCGACTCTTTGTGACCCTGTGGACTGTAGCCCGCCAGGCTCCTCTGTCCATGGAATTTCCCAGGCAAGAATACTGGAGTGGGTAGCCATTCCATTCTCCAGGAGATCTTCCCGACCCCAGGTTGGGATAGAACCCGGGTCTCCTGCATTGCAGGCAGGCTCTTTACCATGTGAGCCATCAGGGAAGCCCATAACAACTCTAGGAAGTAGTTACAGTCATCCCCACTTTACAGAGGAGATTAATAGAAGTACAATTATGTGCCTTAGGTAATCCAGCTAATCATCTGGCATAGCAGATTCAAACTCAGGGAGGAAATGAGGCAAAAGATCAGATGACTTGTTGGGGAGATGGCTGAGGGAAGGGGTGTTTCACTGATCAATCTGAATGTCCTGTAGGTGGCCACAGGGCAGCCCCACGAGGGCTCCAGCTACTCTTCGAGGAAGGACTGTCAAATGGCCCTGAAGCGAGTGGACTATGCTCGCCTCAAGCTCAGTGAGGTGGCCCGAACCTGTGAGCAGATGCTGGAGAACTAGGCCAAGCCGGTGAACAGCTTGGAGGGAGAGCTCCACACACACCCCAGAGCAGAATCTGGAGAGCGTGGGCTGCCCTGTACCTGCTGTACTGGTCAGAGGCCGTGAGGACAAGGGTGCAGAAGGTGCGAAGGAAGACACTTAGAGACCAAGCCCATGCACAGCTGTGCCCTGGCTCCTCCAGCACGTTGCTCCTGCCATGCGCTTCACTGAGTACAGACAAGCTCAGACAGGCGATGGAGACTTAGACACCCAACCCACTTCCTCATGTCCCTGCCCCAGGCTTCCCGCAGACTTGGACCAAGGAAGACACATTTTTGGTTCACTGAAAAAGACAAAATGAGAACTAAGGGTTTTGCTAATAAAAATAATAACACTAAAACAAGGAGCTCAGACTCTAATTGGGGCATATATGGTGATGTAAGGGGTAGAGGAAGTAAAACCAGGCTGCATGGCAGCTGCTGAGAAGGGAGGGTGGAAAAGCCCAGGCCTTTACTGTGGGGTCAGGGCAGGAAGCAGGAGAGGGTGGAAGCTAGGGAGGAACACTGGTGTGGTGTGAAGTGACAAGAGCAAGATATACGGGTCATGGGACATGGAGGCTGGTGGGGGTTGGGAGGAGATGTTGAGGGAGAAGATGCCAGGTGGCCATCAGCAGAGAAGCTGAAGCCAAGAATCAGGCATGATTAGGGGGCAAGGGCATAAGACCCATGTCTGCAGAAAGAAGAGCCAAAAATTATAAAAATAAGTTTTAGTAGTTAAAAAATATGGAATATATACAAGACATAAAATAAACAGCGATTTTATATCATGGTATAGAAGAAATCCAAAAGAACAGAGGAAAGGTCTAAGGGAGGTCAGTGGCTGGTTAGTTGTGAATTAAACACTGACCAATAAGTAAAGAGTGTCTGCCATGTGCCAGAAATTGTTCTAGTATATTAATTGATGCTGAATAAATCATAATCGACCCTCAGAAGATTCCATTCTGTGCACTGGTTCATCTGCTGCAGGTGTATAAGTATAATGAAGCTTCAGGATCTGGGAAAGATAAAGAAATTAACAGATGAGCTCTGAGATCAAGGGAAGTTGGGCAGGGTATTAGGGGCAAGGGGTGACAGCTTAAACTGGGGAATCAGAGTCCAAAACATTAGCTATAGACCAGGTATACAGCAGGTGCTCAACAGTAAAGATCTGTGAATTGAATGAATGGCTCCCACCTTCTTCCACAGCTTCATCTCCCACTAGTCTGCTCTAGCTGCCATCTTGATGTTGCTCCAAGCACTGCCTGGCTTCGAGGGCTGGTCCCCTGGCCTGTGATGGCGTCCCTCCCTCCCCACTCTGTAGTCGGGCTGACTCTTCACTCATCGCCTGTGGTCCATGGTGCAGGCATCGTCTGTATCTGTCTCTGGGTCTGCCTGAGAGCTACTGCTGGCAGAATCCCTGCCAGGGAGGCTCTGGGTCCCTGGAGGAGGGGTTCAGAAGCCCAGTTTACCTGGGGGATGCTTCAGGGACTGCTTCCTCCTCCGCTTGCACACCACGTAGAGTAGGACCCCAGTGAGGAAGAAAATGATGGCCAAGAGGGACAGCACAGGCACCAAGGCTGATGTCCCAGCTGCAGGACCCACTTTTTCTTTCAGCTGCTTCTGGTTCTCCCTAGCCTCAGGCTCTGCCCCCAGACTGTGGCCCGAAGTGTATGTGGTAGTTTCATGGGTGGGGATGAGCTTGCTGTCCAAGGACAGAGCTCCTTCCAGAGGGGTGGGTTGCTGGGTACGCTGCAGGGTGGATGGCAGGTACGTCCTGGAAGTGGTGACTATGTCTGAAGGTGCCGCTTCTGTGGGCTCAGGAAGCTGGGTGCTGCGAAGAGGTGCATCCCCGTGGCCAGCCACCACCCTAGCTTGAGCATGTCCACATTCTAAAGAAGCAAGAAGTGAGGAATCAGGGCTACAAGGGGACAAGGTGAAGAACTAGATAAGAGGGCAGGGTAGCGGGCCAAGGAGAACATCAAGGGAACAGCTGAAGGCCAGGAAAGGAGGGTAGAGGGAAAATATGGGGAGATGGAAGTGAGCAACTACAACATGGAACCCCTGGGGCAATCATGCCCTGGAAAGTCAGGAGACCCCAGTTAGAACCCAGACTCTGCTACAAAGTAGCTGTGACCTTGCCCCTTGTCTCCTAACCTCTCTGGGGTTCATTTCTTTTAGCTGTAACTTAGGGATAATTTTAGTAACAAAGGCCAGAGCAGCCAGGAAGAGTAAATGAAATCAGATGGGTGCTGGGACCTGGAAGAACACTTGGTGTTTTAATGGTTGTGTAATTATTTTAGGAGTAAAATACAACCAGCATATCAAATTTGTGACTTCACAGGTGCTCCTGTTTAGGAAAAGTTGCCATTAAGTTTTTCAAAAGTGGCTGTATACACTTATTTATTCATTTTGTTGTTTTAAAATTTTACCTCAAAGGAACAATAAAATACAGAACTCAATCCTTAATAATATACATGGTGAAATGTCTGGGAATAAAATATAATCAAGCCTGCACTTACTTGGAAGTGCACCAAAAAGATATTAGGCAGATCGATGAGGGATAGAGGGATGCATAGACAGATGGGTGGGCAATAAAGCAAATATAGTTAAAATGCCTTAAACTCGATATTGTAAAATATAAAATAAATTTGCTTTATTATGGACATATATAAAATATAAAAATCAAACATTATAGAATTAGGTGGTGGTTATACGGATGTTCACTGGACAAATCTTTCAATTTTTGTACATGTCTTCAAATTTCCATAATAAAATTGTTCTTATTGTTTAGTCATCAAGTCATGTCTGACTCTTTTGCAGCTCCATGGACTGTAGCCCATAAGCTCCTCTGTCCGTGGGATTTCCCAGTCAAGAGTGCCATCTCCTTCTCCAGGGGATCTTTTCAACCCAAGGATAGAACCCACTATCTCCTGCAATGGCAGGTAGATTCTTTACCTCTGAGCCACTGGGGAAGCCTTCACCATAAAATACTGGAACATAAAAACAGTGCCTTAATTTCAAGAACAACATTAAGTAAATGCACAGTAATAGGATGCATTGGCAAATATCATGAAAGTGATGGTGAAGCATTTATGGTAAACAGGAACTTAAGTCAAAGTACACTGAAGAGGAAAGGGCTGAGGCAAAGAAGGGTGTAAGGTGGACCCACAGAGCCCTGGGGACAGGGCCTGGGGAAGAGGGGAAAGCTCTCACCTCCACTATCAAAGCAGCGCATCAGTTCCTGAACCCAGCGGTCAGTGCTGCCTCCACATACATTTCTGTAGGGTAGCTGGAACCTGAGGAACGACCTGGTCTCAGATGTGTCCCCACTCTCTGCCCCACCCCGCTATTCTCAGCTCTTTCCTGGTTCCAGAAGTGAGGTCACTCCCGAGCGTCAGCAGTTTCTGCTGGGACTGGGAAATTCCAGGTAGGTGGGACAGGGGAAAAGGGAAACTGAAGGTGCAACGAATTAGGGCGAATGTGACCTGGAGGAGTGGGGCGGGGGCTAGACTCCCTCCCAGGAGATAGTTTGACCAGAGGATCCTGAAGGGCGGGGGCGGGGAGGGGGGGGGAATGTACAGGCGCAGCCCTCCCATGGGTGGGTGGTGAGATTACCTGACGTAGGAAATACAGCGCTGATATGCCTTCAGGTATTTTCGGAGATTTCCCATGAGTTGCTCGTTTCGGGGGGAATAGGAAGAGACTCTATGATCGCAGAGACAACTTCCAACCTTGCTGCCTTCGTTGCCATTGCCTGAGAGGAACAGAAGTGGTTCGCACAGGCCCCCGGTTCAAGGGACTCATGCAGCTGCTACTAAGACTTCAACCCACAGCCTCGCTACAGCGTCTCCCCTAAACCCTAGGATCTGAGCCCCGACCCCGGCTCAACCCACGCTTCACTCTCCCCAAATATATCCGTAATCACACCTGGACCCAGGTGTTCCCCAGCCCATCCCCAACCCCAGGCAGCTGGCCCTCCCCCTGCCCCGGCTGCCTTGGGGACCCTGGCTCCTCACTTACTCAACTCAACCCCGCGGCGCTAGTGCCTCCCTCCCATTTCCTTCCCCGGATTCAGGGATCCGGGCCCTTGACAAACCTGAAGTGAAATAAGCTACAAACAGTAGGACCAAGAGGAACCGGGATGCCCGGCCCAGCAGCATCTCTGCCCACCGCGTTCTGTCTGACTCCCCGACGTTCTCCGGAGCCGGACGACCAGCCGGTTTCTCAGTTGCTTTCGCTTCCTTCTCCCGCTTCGCCTGTGATTCCGCGAGACACGGCGGTCGTCGGCGCCGGGGCCCGGCCGGCTGAGGCACGTCGCGAGGGGACGTCCCGGCGTCCTCACCGTCTCAAATCGACAGTGGGGTCAGTACCGTCGCAACCGCGTGATCGCCGGCCTGGGGGCCGCGGGGAAACTCCGGGAGGTGGAGCAACCCTGCACCCAGCCCAGAGCCTCGTCGAAGGAGTAGCCAGGAATGATGGAAGAAGGCTAGAGAAAGCGAAAGGAAGCCCAGGGTGCACGGCTGGACGGCAGCACTGCCTCGCCCGCCGCAGGTCAGTCACTGTGACCTGCTCCTTAGAGAGGCTTTCACGTTTTGACCCGGGTCCTCTCACGTGGCCGGAGTGACTGGCAGCACCAGTCCGCGCGCCCCGCGGCGCAGACACTGACCCGGGCGCCTCCGCGTTGCGCAAGACTTTGGGGCGTGGCCACCCGAGCAGCTGCCCGTGGGCTCGGGCAGCCTGACGTCACACCGCACCCCGAGGTATTTACCTTCGAAAAGTGGTGGCGGCTGCAGGTACCGGAGCAGTGGAGCGGCCGGGGCGGGGGCTACGTGTACTGGGGTTCATCGCCAACCCTAACCCGGCCCAAGGCGAAGGGATGCCCTGCCTCTGATGCTCCTCCCACACCCCACAGACGAGTCCAAAACTCTTCCCCATAGGATTAACTCTCTCCCACTTCGGTCCTCAATTCAATTCAGCCCCTACCTTTGAGGGTTTGAACCTCAGATTTGGAGCCCCAAATACTGTCTCCCTCCTGACTACTCACTTATAACCCTAATCACCCACTTTCAAGTCTGGCCCCGTTCTCATCTTGAACTTGCATCCTCAGCCCTGAAAACTCTTTTCTGGCTCCCAACATCCATCCATAGATACCACCCTAAGGGACCCCTCCAACCCACACCATCCCGGGTGCCTCTCCCTCACCATACATCCCTTCCTCTGCTCAGTCTGACCCAGGCCCTGTGCCCCTGAAGACATGGAGTTTGTGTCTGGATACCGGGATGAATTCCTTGATTTTGCTGCCCTCCTCTCTGGCTGGTTCCGCAAGTTCGTGGCAGAGCGCAGGGCTGTAGGGACCAGCCTTGAGGGTCACTGGCGGCAGCTGGAGGCTCAGATCAGAAGGTTGCCCCAGGACCCGGCCCTTTGGGTGCTCCACGTCTTGCCCAACTGCAGTGTGGGCATCAGCCTGGGGCAAGGGGCAGAGCCAGGCCCTGGACCAGGCCTGGGGGCTTCCCGGCTGCTGGGAGATGAGCCCCCACTCCACCTGCGAGACCTAAGTCCCTATGTCAGCTTTGTCAGCCTGGAGGAAGGGGAGGAAGGAGAGGAGGAGGAGGAGGAAGAGGAACAAGAAGAGAATGGAGAGGAGGAGGGTGCAGGCACCAAAAAGGTAGAAACAGAGGAGGATGGGGAGCCGGCCCCTAGCAGCAGGGAGTCCCCCCAGGAAGCCACCCCTCCAGGGGAGCCAGAGGAGGCCGAGCAGGAGGCTGGAGGTGGCGAGGATGGCCAAGAGGACAGGGCAGAAGACGAACCAGGGCCTGAGAGGAGAAAGGGACGGAGAAGTGGTAAGAACCCAGGATGACCCTGCCATGCCCCCTGCCCAGCAGACCCCCATTCTGAAGCCCTCCTCTGCCCCCTCAGAACACAGTTAGGAGTCACACATGGGTGGTCCTCAGGCCACTCTGGCCTGAAAAGATGTTTTCATTGATCCACATTTTTTTTTTAAGTCTCACCAACTTTAAACATTAAAAGAAAAAATAATTCCAGAAGTCGGGAGTTAACACCTCAAGAAAAATGTGAAGTTCCCACAGCACACCCCCACATTTCTGCCCGGCGGCAAATGCTCGTTCTGTGGAGCTGCTGTCCCCTTCCAATGAGGTCTGCCCTCCTACCTAGTCCCCTCTCCTACCCCAGGAGTATCTGATTTGGTACCCTGACCCTGACAATCTTCCCCCTCCACGCCCGGCTTTTCCTGTCTTCCGCAGATGCTGCCCCCTTGCACCTTTCCTGCCTCCTACTGGTGACGGATGAACATGGCACTATCCTGGGCATTGACCTGCTGATGGAAGGAGCCCAGGGGAGCACAGGCAGGGGCTCAGGGCCTGAGAACCTGGCTCCTCGAGCCTATGCTCTCCTCTGCCACAGCATGGTCTGCCCCATGGGCTCCGGAGACCCCCGAAAGCCCCGACAGCTTACTGTGGGAGATGCCCAGCTGCATCGGTACAGAAAGCTGGTAGAGGGTGGGGAAGCCTAAGGGCCTGGGCTCCTGAGCCCCACTCCCAACCTGATGCCGTCTCCACCCTCATTCAGGGAGCTGGAGAATCTAGTCCCAAGGCTGGGAGTGAAGTTAGCCAAGACCCCGATGCGGACGTGGGGCCCCCGGCCAGGCTTCACCTTTGCCTCCCTCCGGGCTCGAACCTGCCATGTTTGTCATAGGCACAGCTTTGAAGTGAAACTGACACCCTGGTGAGCAACCTGCAAAGACAGAGAGGGGGAGGAAGGGCAGGCAAACAGAGAGAGAATGAGGAACAGAGAAACAAGAAGATGAAAAAATACCATGCTGTGATAGGCAAAGAGAGTACAAACAGACTGAGTGACATATGGGCAGCTGCAGGACAGATGGACAGCAGACAGGGGACCTACATACACTAACACGGGGTACCCCACCACCTCCTATGACCCCAGCCCACAGTGCGGTGCTGTCTTGTACTGTGGAGAGGCTTGTCTCCGTGCGGACTGGAAGCGATGCCCAGATGACGTAAGCCACCGATTTTGGTGCCCAAGGCTTGCAGCCTTCATGGAGAGGGCTGGAGAACTGGCAACCCTGCCTTTTACCTACACTGCAGGTATCATAAGGAGGTCAGAATGGATGGGGGAAGCGGAACCAGGTCTTTGGAACAGGGTCCTGGGCTTGAAGGTTAAGTGCCTGTTATTTCAGAGTCTTGATCCCTGGAGTAACAGCTGAGAGCTGGATATTTGGGGCTAGGAGCTAGACCCCTGGGGCTGGAGATAGCCTCTCTGGCTGGAGGACAGAGTGCCCAGGTCCCTGAGAGAACTTAGGGGATTCAGGTAGAGATACAAATACTTGCTTCTCAGCTTCACAAGCTGGCAACCTGAAACAAATCACTTTACTTCTTAGAGTTTTTCCTCACCAGTAAAACAGGCAGATTAGCAAATGTTAAAACCCGGAATTGTTATATGGCTTCTGTGGACTATGCTGTCCACTCAGGAATGTTAGTTCTCTGCTTGACTGGAAGCAGACTCGGGCCCAGGGTCCTGGGGAGAGGCTGCGGTGAGCCCAAGTCTAGAATCCTGGCCACCGGGCCCTCAACCCCTCCCTTCATCCTTCTCCAGAGGTGACCAGTGAAACCTTTAACAAGGAGGCCTTCCTGGCCTCCCGCGGCCTCACTCGTGGCTACTGGACCCAGCTCAGCATGCTGATTCCAGGCCCTGGTGCCCCCAGGCACCCAAGGGGCAGCACACCCTCCCTCAGCCTTCTTCTCCATGGTGCGTGGGGCTGCTCTCCAGGCATGAGTCCCTCAGACTAGAGGGCAGGAGGGGAGACCAAAAAGTTGTCCAGATCCTAGATAACCCCTCCACATACACACCAGATCCCCCCCGCCCCCAGCACCAGGGCACTGCCTGCCCCTTCCCAACCCTCAGAAAAGTCACCCCTGCCCACCCTCTCCAGAAGCCCCATTCCTAGGCAGTTCCCCAGCCCCCTGCTGCAGCTCCAGGTCCTCTCAGGGAACACAGCTCCTTTGGAAGAAGGAAGCAGCCAGGTGGGGATCTCCCTGACACCAGGCTCATCGTCTTTCATCCTCACAGGAGATCCTTACCAGCCTTTCCAGGGGTATGAGCCCGCCCTGATGCCTCCAGTGCCCCCAGATTCACCCCGGGGCCTCTTTGGTGAGCCGGAGGGGCCCTGAGGGAGCTAGTGGTGGGGGTGCGCTCTGGAGGGTCAGAGGTCTTGGGTGGCTGAGAAAGGAGGCTGTCAGACTGGAGGGGGCCTGAGGTCAGGTTCCCAGTAGCCTACTCTCCCCAGGCTCGTGGCAGGATTACTACACGTGGCGGGGCCTCAGCTTGGACTCCCCCATGGCCGTGCTCCTCACCTACCCGCTGACTGTGTACTACGTCATCACCCACCTGGTGCCCCAGTCCTGTAAGGAGAGCCAAGGCAGCGGGGGAGGACTGCGCGGAGCAGAGGGGCCAGGTGGCTGGTAGGGGACAGGAGGGAGGGGAGGAGAAGGCCATATTTTTAAGTGTCTAGCTTATCACCCAGTCCCTGAGCTCAACATCCAGAACAAACAGTCACTGAAAATCCACGTGGTGGAGGCTGGGAAGGAGTTTGACCTTGTCATGGTATTTTGGGTAAGCCCCTCCAGGCCTGAAGAGTGGGCGTGTGGGTGTGGAGGTGGACACGGGGTGGGACCCAGATTCGTCCTCTTTGCCCTTCAGGAACTCTTGGTCTTGCTCCCCCATGTGGCCCTGGAGCTGCAGTTTGTGGGTGATGGCCTGCCCCCCGAAAGTGACCAGCAGCACTTTACCCTCCAGAGGGTGAGGGTTGAGTTACCCCCTCCCCCTGCCCCTCACCCCAATCTCCAGACTTGGTCCCCCTGCTGTCATCCTGGTTGGGCTGTGCCCTTCTGATCCCTGCCTTCTCTCCCCTGTTTTACCTGACACATCTTCCAGCACCATCACTTCCACTGGCTTCTCTTCCCCCTTCTGACTCTTCAGGATGGCCCTGAAGTATCTGTCCGCCCTTGTTCCGGCGTATCAGCACGGCTCAGCTCTGGGACTAAGGAGAAGGGGGTCCACAGAGACCTGCAGATCAAGGTGTCTGCAAGGCCCTACCACCTGCTCCAGGGGCCCAAGCCTGACTTGG